TCTGGGAGGATCAACAGGTTTTCTTTGTTTTTTTTTGCATTTGTACTTATACAGTATATGAAAATAATAATAATATTGCATGAAATATTTATCTGTAGTCGGGTATATGTACCGTATAATAGATATAGTGTGGGCTGAGTTGTGCCAATAAGCTAATGTGGCCTGAGGTGTGCCCATGGCCATGCTGTTAGGTACGCCTAAAAGGGGGCATACCAAATGAAAAGGTGATGGAATTTTAAGTTATGAAAAGGGATGGGTGGGTGGGGACAAACGCTTCCCCTACAACGTCAGGCAGGAAAGGGAAGAGGAGGAGTTTAAATAGCCATAATCCCCTCCCACAAATACGGATATATATACGGATAGAGATATATATATATATGCTGCCTAAACATATCAGCCGAAAATGCCACTTTTAGCTAAATGCCGAAAGTGCCATTTTCCTGCCCATACATCGGCGCATCCCTGCTTTCTCACAGGCGGCCGAGAGCTGCGGTAGGAGAGCGCTGTGAGCGGCCTGCTTCTCTCCTCCCACACCGCTCAGCCTATCACAGATCAGAGCGGTGTGTGGGTGGAGACAGCGCTGTCAGGGGGCTGATCTCTCCTCCCTGCACTGCTCGCTCAGCCTCCTGTGACAGCGTGTCAGTAAGGAGAGCAAGGTACAAACACTCAGGGATCAGAGATCGCAGAGTGTTTGTAGATAATTGAGGACATGGTATGTTGACTATATCCACAATTATGAATGGATGGGAGTGATCTACATCCCCTCCTGTTGTTCATTCATGATTGTGGTTATAGTAAACATACTCTGTCCTCATGTTATCAATGAACAGGAACACTCAGAGGATTCCTGTTCATTTATAACAGGTTGCAGAAAAAGAGATTGAGGACTTCGGGTCCTCAATCGCTTTTTCTATTTTAAAAGGGAAATATTAGCGGTCTGTTTAGACCCCCAATATTTCCCCAAAGCCTCTAAAAATAAAGTAAAAAATAAAAATATAAAAAAAATGAATAAAAATAAATATCAAAAAAATTAAAAAGTTTATAAAAAATAAAATATTTTTAAAAAATATAAGGAGAGCAAGGTACAAACACTCAGGGATCAGAGATCGCAGAGTGTTTGTAGATAATTGAGGACATGGTATGTTGACTATATCCACAATTATGAATGGATGGGAGTGATCTACATCCCCTCCTGTTGTTCATTCATGATTGTGGTTATAGTAAACATACTCTGTCCTCATGTTATCAATGAACAGGAACACTCAGAGGATTCCTGTTCATTTATAACAGGTTGCAGAAAAAGAGATTGAGGACTTCGGGTCCTCAATCGCTTTTTCTAAAAAAAAATTAAAAAGTTTATAAAAAATAAAATATTTTTAAAAAATTGAATTTAAAATATTAGGGATGCACCGATATATCGGCCGCCGAAACATTCTTTGTGCCCAAACCATATTATTTTTTGACAGGTAACTAAGACAGATTATTTGACAGTTCGTGACTTGAATAGAATTAAATGTTTTTCTTTATTTGGGATAGAGCTGAAAAGGGGTTAGAATCTATTTTAGGTGTTTACTACTTTGTGAACTGGCTGGTAAGATCCCTCCCTTCTAGGTTCTGTCACCAAGGCTGAAAGTGAGAGAAAAATTGAAAGTTTTAATTGGTCACTGGAACAGGAACGGAGGTGAAAACTTCTGATGGGGACATTTGTTCTGGTGACACCTAAGAGCGGATTTCCTTTACTTTAGAGCAATCTCCTCTCACTTCCTGCTGTCTCGAGACAGGAAGGGAAGAATAATCTCCCCACGTAACACAGAAAACAAAAAAAAAATACAGATATTTTACCCTTTCTCTACTCTATCCAAAACAAACAAAACATGTTTTTGTGCGTCCCATTAACATGCAATGTGGTAAGGCAGCCCATTCATTTTGACTGCACAGAAACGGATCAAAAAAATGGACATGCAGCATTTTTCCTGAGGCAGCACACAAATAGTAGTGTGTGTGTGTTACAGTGTGTCAGAGCTGTGTTGCCTTAGTTTGTTTAGGTGCCATTCAAAATTGACGACACAGCAATGCAATTAACACATGCATTTCTAGAACGCATGCAAACATGTGTACACTGTAAATGCTATGTGATAATTACTTGGATCATTGGTTTAGGACTGAATTGCACCTCTGCAATTAGGTATGTTGCGGTAAAGCACACTATTTTTATTGTTTTTAGTTGCACCCTATTGCATTAAGGCAACACAGCAGACGCATGCATCCCAGAGTAACAAAACAAAGGGTAATGCACTACCATGCGTTTTGATGCACTGCATGGGGGGAAAATGCATCAGGTCCATTCCAGTGCAAAGGCAGCCTCATCTCAAAATATCATTCAAACTCAGCTACCTCTTCACCTCCCATGCTCACCTCCATGGCTACTCTGGAGTCTCTCCTATCCTCTGTGTGGCCATCTCCTACTCTGTTCGCCTTTAGGCGTTCCCTGAAAACTTTTTTCAGGGAAGACTATCTCACCTCCAGTGGCGTAACAACCGGGGGGGCACTTGCCCCGGGCGCCAATAACTCTGGTTACGCCACTGCTCACCTCTACCTTGAAACTGTTCTACTTTCTCCATTAGCTCATCCCTCACAATTGTTACCTCGTGTCACTTTCCCCTTTCCCCTCCATTTTAGATGGTAAGCTCCTACGAGCAGGGTGCTCCTAATCCTCTTGTATTGTAACAGTACTATCTCCCTTTATTTTGTAAAGCGAGCTGCAAACTGTTGGTGCGTTATAAATCCTTTATCATAATAATTCAAAATGAATAGGCTGCCTTGACACAAAGCATGTTGATCAGTTTGCGTCAGCGCACTGTGCAGGAATGGTGACATGTGAATGGACCCTAGACGCTCAAGTAAAATACACAATTTACAGGAATGGGAATGGTGAAAGTAAGTGTATATTTACCTAGCGGCAGACGGCAGAACCCTCCCAAACGTTCTTCTTATCCAGAGATAGAGAAACTTTCTAGCCAGGTGCCTGCAGAGGGAAGCTGATCATATAAGGCAGTGTTTATCCACAATCAGAACTTATTTTTTCATTTAAAAAAGACAATGCAGCTACCAAACAATGATTTATTTTGTATAAAGGGTAGAAGTCAGCTCACCTGATTCGCAGTTCCTTCAGTCTCCCCCCACGGTTCCAGGTGTAGGTGACACGGTACTCAATGTGACGACCGGTCCTCGCTGGCCTCAAATTTCCAGGGGTTCGGAGAGCCTGAGCAGGACCCCCACGCTGTGACTTGGCTTTGCCAGGATTATTCATATTCTTTCTGCAATGACATTCTCTTGTCATTACACACACTTATATTTGATGATTCACATGTTAACAAGCACATGAGTCAGCTCCCACCATCCTTTTCCAGCAAGTGACAAGTTAGATATAAAACGATATTCATTCCGCTCCCTTCCCGAACATCTGCTACAATCTACGTGTATGTACCTGAGGCAAACAAACCAATGGGCACTAAGTGAACAGGTACAACACACAGTGCGAACTCTCCATCTGTGACTCGAACTCTACCAGTTCCGGCCGCTCAGCCTTCAGCAACATCCGCGCTCGACTTCCCGCTCGTTGTCCTGGACACAGGACGCCTAGGTGCGCAAAGCCCTCTAGTGACAGCATGTGGGCATTACAGTCTCAGCGGCTAGGCAGTCGTATAACACCCGTACAAACTAATGCAGCGCCCTCTAGTGACAGCGTGTAGATATTACCGCAGGTTCAACGGCTGGCAGCCAAATAACACCCATACAAATGAATGCAGCGCCCTCTAGCGACAGCGTGTGTGCATTACAGCAGGCTCAGTGGCTGGCAGCCACATAACACCCATTCAAACTAATGCAGCGCCCTCTAGCGAAAGCGTGCAGGTATTACAGCAGGCTCAGCCGCTGGCAGCCATATAAACAGAAACTGTACTGCACAGGTGAACTATCGAATTATCCAACTCGTCGAGACCTCCAACTCTCGTCAGTGCGCTTGCACAGCCACCCAAGAGAAGTATCAAGCTGTACAATCTGCAGCTGTGTGCCTGCGCGGGCACCCGATGCACAAGCACCAAAGGGAGTTGGAGAACACGTTGACAATTTTGAATACGCACAGACGCACCTACGGGAAGTGGAGAAGTCAACGAGGATTGCAAAAACTGTGACGGCTGCCGCACCTGCACCAGCACCATCTCATCGAAATCTACAATGGATATGACGTCACGAGTTGAAGATCTCGACAGAACACCGGAACTGCAATAGCAAATTAAGTACGTCTGTTTATGAACGTACATGCTGCATAGCAAAATACACTTAATGCAACATTTCACAGTCACAGAGGATATATAGATGTACTTAATTTGCTACTGGAGTGCCGGTGTCCATGTCTCTGTTCATAGGACGAGGTGGTTGCCATCCGCCGACTACCGTTGCACCCACTTTCTATCATTGGAACAGTGACTCTGAGTGCGCTGGGTATATGGACTGTATCCTGGCAGCCATATACACTTGTGCTCATAAGTTTCCATACCCTGGCAGAATTTATGATTTCCTGGCCATTTTTCCGAGAATATGAATGATAACACAAAAACCTGTCACTCATGGGTAGTGTTTGGCTGAAGCCATTTATTATCTATTAACTGTGTTTACTCTTTTTCAATCATAATGACAACAGAAACTACCCAAAGGACCCTGATCAAAAGTTTACATAACCCAGTTCTTAAAGGGGTTCTCCAGTTTTTTTTGCCTATATCTACTGCTGGAAAGCAGTAGATAAAGTAAAAAAAAAAAAAAAATGCTTTAACAGCGGTTTAAACTTACCTTGTTATCGCTGCCCGCGCCGAGAATCCGGAACTGCTCGTGCGGCCGCAAAGGATCTTGGGGCGGGCGCATGCGCAGTTCGGATTCTCGTCCGGGAGACCAGCAGAGACTCAAGGTAAGTCTATGGACATGTTCACCCGCATGCAGACACCGCTGGATCGGAAGTGTCTGCAAGCAGAGAGGAGTCAGCGCTGGATCGGAGAGGCGCCGCACCGCTGGAGGGACAGATGAAAACATCAGGAAAGAAGGGGAAGATCGGATTAAGAGACATCATTTGAGGTAAGTGCTAACATTAACATGGGAGGGGGGGGAATGCTTTGACCTTAATAAGGTGTGTTGCCCCCTTTAACATCAATGACAGCTTGAAGTCGTTTGTGGTATGTGTGGATGAGGCTCTTTATCTTCTCAGATGGTAAAGCCCATTCTTCCTGGCAAAAAGCCTCCAGGTCCTGTATATTCTTGGGCTGTCTTGCATGAACTGCACGTTTAAGATCTCCCCAGAGTGGCTCAATGATATTGAGGTCAGGAGACTGAGATGGCCACTCCAGAACCTTCACTTTATTCTGCTGTAGCCAATGACAGGTCGACTTGGCCTAGTGTTTAGGATCATTGTCATGTTGGAATGTCCAAGTACGTCCCATGCGCAGCTTCCGCGCTGATGCATGCAAATTGTCCTCCAGTATCTTTTGATAACATACTGCATTCATCGTGCCTTCATCAATTCTGACCAACTTTCCTGTGCCTTTGTAGCTAGTAGGAGCACAACTGTAACACCAATACAAACTAAACTTTTAAAAGTGATAAAGATCATATAAACATAAATCATTTTATCAAAGTGTATTAGGACCCATTCCTATCTACATTACGCATACTCATCATCTGGTGCTGTTACACTTTAACTTACTTTAGACTTATGTTAAAGTGCAAAGCCAAAACATATTTTTTTCCGATTTGGATAGGGTGGAGAGGGATTAGATAAGCTGTCAGGTTTTTATTGCTGTCTGTATCCCCTTTAGGGAGATCACCCTCTCTATTTGTCCTGGTGACCATTTTCACTAGAAGTCCAAGAAAATCCAATATCTTTGGGTTGTCACCAGCACCGGAATAGGTGGGAAATCTTCCAATGGGGACATTAGTTCTGAAGACCATGCTGACCAACAGAGATTTTTCTCACTTAAGAGTTATTTCCTCTCACTTAATGTTGTGACTATCAGACAGGAAATTAGGTGAAAACGCCCCAATAGGGCTATCACGTACCTGGTAGGGAGGCCGAAGTGAGAGGAGGCTTCTCTTGCACCTCGTGTCTTGTGACCTTTGAGGTTGAGGACAAAGGCCAGGCAGACAGGGAGAGGCACGAGTCCTTTAGGAAAGTCCAGTAATCGAGGTCACAACAAGCCGGGGTCAAAAGCCATGAAATCCAATTCAGTAGAAGTAGGGAGCAGGCCGAAGAATATCCAAAACAGTCCGAGGTCAAAAGGCAGGCAGCAAGCAAGGATGGTCGTTTACACAGGAACAGGTCAAATCCAGGGGAATCAGGTATATACAGGAGAAGGCTAAACGGGAGACAAGGAACACGATCAAGCTGACAAGACAAACCAGCAACTAGTGGGCGTTTGAGCTGGGCTTAAATAGGGCAGTGAGTTCATCTATGATGTAACTTCCTGTGCGCCTCTTGGCGCGTATTTGTTCTCAGCTGCGCCTGCGCGTGTTTGTTCTCAGCTGCGCCTGCGCGTGTTTGGTCCCGGCTGCGCCTGCGCGTGTTTGTTCCCGGCTGCGCCTGCGCGTGTTGGTTCCCGGCTGCGCCTGCGCGTGTTTGTTCTCCGCTGCGCATGCGCAGAGCGGGAGTTTCGCTGACAAGGGCACAGATGGCAACAAAAAAGCTGACGGTTTATAGCTCACCCTTTTTTAAAGAAAGAGAAAAAACAAAAGAAAGACAGCCCAATTAATAACCAATAAGAGGCAGTTATGGTATTCTCTAATTTGCAAAAAGACAGAGTGGAGTTCTAACCTTTGTATATGCCTGTGTTGTCATATTTGCCTATGTTTCTGTGCATGGTGTCCCTTGGTGTACCTTGTTCTTCTGATTCAGTCTCAAAGTGCAGATTTCATAAACTTAATAAACCATTGGAGACACATTTATTATACATTTTGGGAACCATATTGAAAATCCATCTTCCAAGATGAAACCTATTTCCTCAGTAGAATTTGTCCTTAGTCTTCAAGTCAAATACCTCTCTGAGCCTCCACTTTCTATAGTCAAGGAGTGTACTATCTAGGACTTGACCCCAGAAAGTCAGCAATCACCACAGCCCGAAGGGTCTCAGAATTGTGTGCACTGACCTAGCTAGTTTTTGCTCAGTCACACTGAGACAGATTCTGCTTTTGTGTTTCTACCTCAACCACGACTGGGTATTATCAACCGTTATGGACAAGTCATAATCCCAGCGGGAGTAAATAAAGGAAAGGAGGTTTTATTACAGACAATCTCTGCATGGATCATCAACATCATCCAACGGGCTTCCAGGTTGATTCCGGCAACGAAGAACACTGCACATTCCACCAGAGACATCTTATCTTACTGTGTGGCTTTTGGAGGTGCTCCCCCAGAAACTAAATGCAGAGCAGTCACAGGGTACCATACTACTTTTATCTGCCATTACCGGAGAGATTGGGCACTACTTACGATAGTGGAGTTTGGAAGGAAAGCTTTATAGTCTTCTCTATCCTGTTCATAAATTTGTTTATATCCAGCATATCCCTCGTGCAGGAGACATGCCCACCCGTGCTGTACTAATCTATTTATGTGAATGTCAAACACCTAGGTATAGTCACTGAGCTTGTCGATAGTTAGGGGAGGGGGCACTTCAGCTATAGACAATCCTGCAGGATCCTGCTATATGGTTTTAGCTTTGTTTGATCATTGAAAAAAGCACATACATTTTTGTATGTTTGAGTACATTCACGTTCTCAAACAATTCATCCCCACACAGCTACCTCCTCATGTATCACTTCCCCCTCCCCTTTTAGATTGTAAGCCCTCCTTACCATCTTGTCTTGAATTGTATTGTGATTGTAATGTCTTCCTTATATTGTAAAGCGCTGCACAAAATGTTGGCGCTATATAAATACTATGTAATAATAATAGTTGAACAAGACAATTTAACATCTTTGTAAATAATGGCCCTGGGATAGAAAGCTTATATTTAAGCTTATGCTTCATGTATTTATTGTACAAAAGAACAAGTTAGCCCCATTGCCTCAGGAACAGCATTTAATACCTGAAACACTGAGTATTAAAATTATACTCATTTGATGAATGGTATGAAATTCAGCATCCTTTGAGAAGTCCTAATTGTATTCAGAGACAGGCATACAATTTGTGTAGACTATGCAGTTGCACATGTGTCATCAGGGACTTAGGGGGGCCATTTATAATAGATGTGGGTCAGATGAGAGCTTTAACATATATTGATAAGATTAATTTACATCAAGCTGATCGGCTACATGTTTTTAAATATACATTTCGACCCCTAAAAAGGTTCTTGGTTGCAAAGAAGGTTCTCCAAACTGCAAGAGTTCTCATTAATTTAGGGAAAGTGATCTCAAGAGTATAACAGATCCCCTGATCCAAACACCCCACTGGCTGACATCTTATATAACGTGGTTCATTGATAACAAAAAAACACTATGGGAGAGATGTTTCCCTGGTCTACCAGCTAAGGACATTTTTTGTGGAATGCAGGATCTCCGTCCTGTTTTCCAAGCAATCAAAGTTCACCAACCCAGGGCAACAGGATGGAAACCTGGAGATGACTTGAATGTGCATGGGCCTCTAACTGCCGACATGAACGATGTGAGGAGTCCTAACAGGGACAAGGTCATCCTAGGTACTCTTTAAGGGCGCCCATAACTCTGGTACGCCACTGCCTCCGGGCAATAACTACCTACATATTCTCTCACTAGAGTTCCTTTTAACAGTTACAGCACGTCTTGGTGATGTACATAAAACGAACATTGTTGGAATTCCCAGGGATTTTTTTTTTCTCGTTCTACGTAAAGTGACTCTGCTACAAAAATGAAAGTGGAAATAAATGATCTCCCTTCAAGGAACAAACTAAATACATGCCTCTGTTATTGCCAAATGCATCTAATGGCGAGAACCTGAAGACTAGAACACCTGAAGATTCTACTGTGAGCCCAACACGTCCAGAACCATGAATCTCTTGCTGTGCTCGATGCTTCCTCATGCTGACCCATGTCACTACAGGACACAATAATCAGTGACACAGGGGTCAGCAATAAGAACCACTATGTGTAGCAGGGGAACACAGGAGATTGTCCTTTCTGATGTTTTTCGATGATGGTTTCTCTGCAGTGGACTGGCATTCTGCACCACAGACATTGAGAAAAGCAATAACATTCTCCTTTAACCCCTTCGTGACTGACGACGTACAGTGTACGTCGCCAGCATCGGGGCTGTTTAAACAGACTCCCGGCGACTTTTGCCGCCGGGAGTCTGTTTAAACTTGTAGAGCCGACTGTCGGCTTTACAACAGAAGCAATCCTGGCGACTTACCTGCCGCCAGATCGCTTCTGTGTCCCGAAGAAGGGGCCGCCCCCCCCGGACACCCCCGCCGTGCTTCCCGGGCTCCGTTGCCCCTCCTACGGGCCCGGGACCGGCGATCTTGGTGTCCGCGGGGAGCTGGGGAGGAGGTCGACGAACTTCCGTTCATCGATCCCCTCCCCGTTCTATGGGACCGGGAGCGATGCAGATTGCATCACTTCCGGTCCCTGGGCTGTCAGTTCTGGGCTCCTGGAGCCCAGCTATAAGCTATTGAAGTGCGATCTGCACTTCAATAGCTTATTTCCAGTGTAAAGGTGACACTGGGGGTCTTTTGGACCCCCAGCATCACCTTAAAGAGTACCTGTCACGACCATCTGCTATCACATGGGGGGGCTTGTAAGCCCCTCTATGTGATAGCAGTCAAAGTTAAAAAAAAAAAGCTTTTTCAATTAAAATTAAATAAAATCAATCTAATAATAATGTAAAAAAAATTTTTAAAGTCCCCCGCGTCGCCACGCGTCGGGTGCGCCTACGTATGAAAACGACGAACGCGCTACACATGTTGGGTATCGCCGCGCACGCCGCAGTGAGAGCAATAATTCTAGGGCCAGTATTTTGGGGTATCTCTAAATTGATGACCTGTGGGGGCTTTTAAAGCGTCTTCTATTGACTTTTTGGGGTACTGCAGTTTTTCGCCGTTTCACGGACGCACGCAATTTGTAACCTATGCATGTTGGGTATCGTTTTACTCGTTGTAACCTCATCTTTTATATGTAATTTAAAAAATTGGTATTTTTTTGTGTTTTGGGGCATTAAATTTTTCACTAAATGTTGGGGTTTAATAAGGAGTTGCGCTAATATTGCGCAACATAAAAATTTGCAACTACCACCATTTTATTCTATAGGGTCTTGGCATTCAGAAAACATATAATGTTGGGGGGTTTTAAGTCATGTTCAGGCCTAAAATGTGGAATATAACATGGGTGCAAAAAATGAAAAAAGGGCCTCAGTCATGAAGGGGTTAAAGAATTGCCGTTTTAATGTAAAACACTGTAATCATTAGTTACTAGCAAGTTTATTTAGTACTTCTGAACTTATTTAAATGATGGATCATGCGTCCAAAACAATCTCTTTGTTAGCCTACATTCACACTCGCTGGAAGTGCTCATGGAAACGCTTACACATGCCTTATTTTGTACCTGTACACGTGTTTTGAAAGAGTTTTGCAAGCATTTGTGCACTGTAGGACCTTGTGAGCTATAGATCATATGCCAAGTTTCTTGGCATCAGATGCAAAAACAGACTGGGGTCAAAAAGGTTGGGGAGGATGAAACCCTCCACATCCAGAAGACTGCATAGGCATTGCTCCTCCATCTTTTCCTGGTCTTGGCTTGCTACAGGATGGAAAGCAGATAGTGCTTTCAGGCACAAATATTTGAAACATAACTTGTGTCACACATGTACGTTCTCTTGCATTAAGCTATATGGGGCAAAAAAAACTCATGTATCTATTCCAGCAACTGAGCATAGAGATGGGAACAGTCTCTATTGAGAATTATGAGAGTCCCAATTAGGGTTGCCACCTTTTCTTGAAACCTGAACACTCTTGCACCGCATGCTGCTCCCCACCCCCCCATGCTTCCAAGGTCTCAGGTGGCCTGTGCGGGCTCTCAGGTGGGCTATGTGAGCTCTCAGGGTGGCTATGCGGGTTCTCAGGTGGGATATTCGGTCTCTCAGGTGGGCTAGGTGTGCTCTCCGGTGGGCTATGCAGGCTTTCAGGAGTCTTGTGTGGTGTCTCACCTGGGGTCCAGGGGTAGCAGCATGCTTTTAAATAGACGTGGGAGATGTGGGGGCAGGCCTGCACCTGTTTACAGGTGCCCGCAGCTCACAGGTAGATGCGGCTGACTTTATCCCGCGCTTGCTGGGGACCTGGGCAGACGCATCTGCTGGAAACCTGAACACAAGACTCAAAAACAGGACTGTCCGGGGTGGCAACCCTAGTCCCAATGCTGTACAATGTTGCACTTAGGCCTAAAAACGCTCACATGTGAATGCGGGTTTACTATTCACCACCCTCATCTATGGGCTCACAGAGGGCACATGTAATCCATGGACCTGTTTCCATTTTCCTGTTGTACCATGTTTCTCCTTTCTCATTCTTCGACGTTTACGGGCCTCCTGAGCACAGCTGAATGAGGATAACCCGGCACAGAACGGACTTTCCCGGCTCTCAGACTGCCCAGTCACGTCTGGTTACCTCACGTTCACTTTTAATACCAAACATCATCCGTTATCACGTGACCCCCGCTAATTAAGGGGTTAAGCGTCTGGCTGACACGCCTCCTCTACGTCGACAAGTGACGTATGACGCCCGGGGTCCTTTTGACGTAGCCGATTTTCGGTGCCTGACTAGAACGGTAGCTGGCCATTACAAATCGGCGTAGCGTAAAGCGGAAGCCAGCGAAGGCCCCGAAGCTCCCAGCGGAGAGCAGACCGGCGAGGAGAGGGGAGCCGCGGGGCCGGTACGTGCCTTGCGTTGTGTGCGTGAATTGCGTGCCGTGCGTAAGCGGCGTCCGTACGCGGCGGGGGGTATTAGAGGGAGGGGGGAACCGGGAACGAGCGGGGGTGTATTCAGGTAAGATGTGGGGGGAGTTGGAGCGGGTTACAAGTATGGAGCATGCGGCAGGTGTTCAGGGTTTGCCTTAAGCCTGCTCTTTCATGGTTCCTGATACTTCGGTGTGTGTCAGGCGGTTTGTTGTTCGGGTCTGTGTTGGCTCCATTCTATAAACAGAATCATGGGGCTGCCTTGTCCAGCGTGCTTCTTAACGACTTTGTTAGCCGTCAGGCACTGTATGGTGCTGGGCTTACTGTGTATGTGTGACAGGTTGCTCCTCTGTTCCTCCACTTTACTTGTGGACTGGTCTGCTAACAGGCGGCCCTTGAAACTGTCCTGTACTGCTACGCAGAGCATTAGGCTTCCTGCAATATGTGTTCTTATACAGGATTTATACCATGCTAACCGTCTGCACAGTGCTTTACAAAATGAAGCAAGATGAGCTATGATACAATTCAAGATGGAGGTTAAGAGGGCTTCTTAGAGGGTTGGTGTGAGTGATACAGAAGCTAGTAATTGGGGGGTGAGGTGTCTGAGAAGGTTGTTGGGTAGAGGAGAGGCTTCCCTGAAGAGATAACTTTCCATGAATCACCTAAAGGTGGACAGAGTAGGAAGTAGATTGTGGTAGGGAGTTCCAGAGGATGGGAGAGTCCTGGAGGTCAGCATGGAAGGAGTTGATAAGGGAGCTAGAAAGCAGGAGATCTAGGGATGAATGAAGAGCATGGTTTGGGTGATGTTTTGGGAGTGTTGCTGATGTAGCTAAGGGGAGAAATGTGGCTGGCTTTGTGTGTTTTAATATTTTGAATTCTATTCTTAGGGTGAGCAGCAGCCAGTGGAAGGGTGGCAAACGCTGAGCCATTGGTAAGATGGATGATTCTGGCAGCAGCAATCATGATAGACTGAAGGGAGGGGATAGTCTGTATAGTGGTAGACCAAGGAGGAGGGAATTGTGATCATTTGAATGAGAGCTAACGAGTGAATTAGTAGCTTAGTGGTTTCATTGGTTTGGAAGGGGTGTATTTATGGGGTCAAAAGGTATGAATGGACAACCTTTGTTTTGGATGGTGGTGAAGGGATCAAACCTCTGGTTTCTATTAGTCTTTTCTCCCGCGGGGGGAGGTTCATTCTCTGTTTTTCCAGGGGACTGCTGTCTCTCAGAGGGAAAGTGAGGGGGGGTCTGAACATTTTTCCAGTTGTCAACAGAACATAAGGTGATGTGTTTTTGAGTTCCCTTTCTGCCTAAGTGACAGTGGTCCCCTGTACAAACAGGCAGGATGAATCCAGATGGAGCACTGACACAAAAACCGGATGGAGGTTCTTCCAAAGAGGACACCTTTTCTGGTAATGGCTGTCCTAATGTGGATTTGGAGAGGCTCACCTCCTGCTGTCTCCTGGACAGGAAGTGAAGGTTTAGGGCTTCTAAAGGGACGTGGAGAGCAAAATTTAAAGCCCCTGTCTGACGGGCTTTGGGCTTGTGCCAAAGGCATCAGTAATAGACTCTTCTGAGGCCATTCAGAGTTTGATAGAAGCATGTGACCTGCATTTTACCAGCTTCAAGCAGGTTTTGCATTGTCATCTACCAGGGGGAGACAAATTAAGGTGATCCTAAACTCAGCAGTTAACTCTTAAAAATACATTCAAGTACCTTTTTAACTATTAACAAAAATGTATCTTATTTCTCTTATCATCCAGCTGTAGATCCTGAAATCATCTCTGAATTCATGATGACACTGTACTTCCGACTGGAGGGTGGCTACCTTTGTTCCGCATGGTCCCTGCGTGTGTTGTCAAGCTCACTCCTGTGATGGACTACAATCTCAATACAAATGGGTAAACTGAATGTGAGATTGTAGTCCATCACAGGAGCGAGCTTGGAGTGGTGACTATTTTACAACACACACAGGGAGACCAAAAGTAGGACAGTGTCGGCACCAATTCAGAGATGATTTGAGGATCTACAGCTGAGTGATACACAAATAAAATACATTAATATTATTAGTTGGAGTACTTGAATGCAGTTTTAAGATTAACACTTGAGTTTAGTGTCACTTTAATACGGAATTCAGAAGCCAAAATGATTTTTGTTGTTTAGGAGCCAGCTCCTTTTGACAACTAGAGAACCTCCAAAGTTAGACACCAAGTGTAATTTGAAAAGATCTACCTGGCTGCTGGTTTTTTTCCAGCCTTGGCATAGACTGCTGTGGAAATACACATCAGTCCATGCAAGTAACAAGAGGTCAATAAGTTGGTTTAAGGCTCCTGAACTGATAAAGAAATACTGCAATGTTTCTAACCTGGCAGCAGATTTACTCTTAGTGGTTTCCTCCCCATCAGCACATATTCCCTTCACTCCTCTCTCCTTTGTTTGCCTGGAGCAGGAGAAGATCAGGTTGTAGGTTTCAAAGTATGGACTATCACCAGGTGACATTGCTGTTGATTGGCCTAGTGCTGTCACTTGGTCAATGCTCCCTTATACCTGAAAATACGGGGAGTGTTTTCTTTACTCCCTGCCACTTAATAGAGAGGTGGGGGAGTGAAAGAAAGGTGAGTATAGCTTCCCTTTCTAAATTTTCTACTGATTAATTGCTAAGGATATTGATTGGTTGCTACTTCTTTTTTTTCTGCCCGATTACACTACTAAAAGTCTCCAGTGTAGTGCTATCCTTCTAGAATCCTTCTTTAATTTCCAAAGCACCCTTTTTGTGTAAAAACATTGTCACTTACAGACTTTGGATGTGGCCATGCGTGAGCATTTTGATCAAGGTATACTTGAAAGTTTTCCTACAGAGAGGGGAGGGGGAACAGTAGCGATCAGTTGGGGTAAAATCCATTCTAGCAGTGTCTCCTGGCTGCGACTGCTTAAGAAAACAGGGAGCAGACATGGAAACATTTGCAAGTCCAGTTTTAAATGTCTGGAACAAGTAAACATTCTAGTTCATCTGTAAACTATTTTTGAGACCCACAGCCAACTGCTTGGAAGTGTACAAAAAGCGTATGTATATAATATAATTATTGTGATCACTTGAAAGAAATACTAGGCTTTGACAGTTAGACCTTGTTCACACCAAATGCAGAGCAGATCCGGTCAGGTTTCTGCACATGCACGCTAGTCTTTTAGATGTGGTTTTTGATGCGTTGCGGGCTCTTTTTGGCAAAATATATATATATTTTTTTTTTTTAAGTTTTAAATGGGCTTTCAGTGTGTTCCAGGCATTTGCATGAGTTTTTGATGCGTTCCAGAGCAGGTAAAATAGGGCCTGCTGCAGTTTTTTCACCTGCTCTGGATCTGCTCTGCAACTGCACGCTGCGATGTGAACTGGAGCAAAAAATACCATTGGAATATATTGGACGCAGTTTTGATCCGGTCTGCAACTGATATGCTCTGCACCTGCTCCGTGCTTGGTGTGAACAAGGCCTTATGCTATTTAGCAGAGTTGGTCTGTGATCTGCAAGGAAAATGGATTAGTCTCAATCAGGGTCTTGCAAACTCATTCAGAGTTTATATTTTTACTTTGGCAGGGAAAGAATACAGCGGAATAATCACATACGCACTCAATGGCCACTTTATTAGGTACACCTTGCTAGTACTGGGTTGGAGCCCTTTTGTCTTCAGAACTGCCTTAATTCTTTGTGGCATAGATTCAACAAGGTGATGGAGTTATTCCTTAGAGATTTTGGTCCATACTGACATGATAGCATCACACAGTTGGAGATCTGCTCTGCAACTGCACGCTGCGATGTGAACTGGAGCAAAAAATACCATTGGAATATATTGGACGCAGTTTTGATCCGGTCTGCAACTGATATGCTCTGCACCTGCTCCGTGCTTGGTGTGAACAAGGCCTTATGCTATTTAGCAGAGTTGGTCTGTGATCTGCAAGGAAAATGGATTAGTCTCAATCAGGGTCTTGCAAACTCATTCAGAGTTTATATTTTTACTTTGGCAGGGAAAGAATACAGCGGAATAATCACATACGCACTCAATGGCCACTTTATTAGGTACACCTTGCTAGTACTGGGTTGGAGCCCTTTTGTCTTCAGAACTGCCTTAATTCTTTGTGGCATAGATTCAACAAGGTGATGGAGTTATTCCTTAGAGATTTTGGTCCATACTGACATGATAGCATCACACAGTTGGGGCAGATTTGTCGGCTGCACATCCATGATGCGAAGGCAGGATTGATCCATGCTTTCATGTTTACATCAAATTCTGACCCGACCACCCGAATGTCTCAACAGAAATTGAGACTCATCAGACCAGGCAATGTTTTTCCAATCTTCCATTTTACAATTTTGGTGAGCCCTTGCAAACTGTAGCCTCAGTTTCCTGTTCTTAGCTGACAGAAGTGGCACCTGGTGTGGTCCTCTGTGGCTGTAGCCTATCTGGTTCAAAGTTCAATGTGTTGTGTGTTCAGAGATGGTATTCTGCATACCTCAAATGTAACAAGTGCTTATTTGAGTTGTTTTTCTATCAGCCTGAACCAGTCTGGCCATTCTCCTCTGACATGAACAAGGTATTATTGCCCAGAGATCTGCCGCTCACTGGATATTTTCTCTTTTTCAGACTATTCTCTGTAAACCCTAAAGATGGCTGTGTATGAAAATCCCAGTAGATCAGCAGTTGCTGAAATACTCAATCACTTCAATTCCCTTTCTTCCCCATTCTGATGCTCGGTTATAACTTCAGCAGACCATCTTGACCATGTCTACATGCCTAAATGTATTGAGTTACTGCCATGTGATTGGCTGATTGGATATTTGTGTTAACGAGCAGTGGAAGAGGTGTACCTAATAAAGCGGCTAGTGAGTGTATGTTCAGCTTAAAGGAGAACTATGATGTGAGTGAAAATCACTCATCCTCATAGTTCGAGCCGCCACGGGACAATGAAACTGTCACACGTCGGCTCAGTAGATCGCAAAGTGAGCGAACACATACCGTCGCTCGCTCACGTCTCGATCATCTCCCTGCAGAGAGCATTGACTGTGTCACGGCTCCCTGCAGGGATTCCCTCCCTGCTCCTATCCTCCAGCACTGATTGGAGGAACGTACAGGGGAGGGGGTGGGTACAGCTGGCTCTGCTGCTAGATGGGCAAAGCCAGCTGTCACTCGCACAGCTTGGTGGATCTCAAAAGTAATGTCTGGATCCGTCTGGGCTGCGGCGGTCTCGGTATACTGCAAGCTGTAGCTTGTGATATACTAAGCTTTGGGTCATGGGAGGATCCTGGTATATTTGTCCTCCTGTGACCCCTGAGAGAACTAGGGGGAGAAACAATTGCCCCATAGTTCTCTTTTTTAAGGCTGTGATGTCACAATCCATTATCTTCAGAGATCTACCTACATGTTGGCAGTAACTTTATTTCAGAGCACTGAACTCTTTGCTGCTAATGACATGAAAGGCAGCAAGTGTGTTTGTTTCTTCCCCCTGTCAGGGGCATAAACATTAAATTTTACGTTTAGGCCTAGGCAAATAATGGCTCGATTTCCTGTGAATCGACCAAAATTCATGCCATGGGTGGCCCTGTTGGCCTCACCTGGCTTGACAAACTTCGATTGGAAAATTGTTGGCCAGACATTGACTACAGCTAACATGCTGCAGTCACCATTCGCATATTCACATGGCTCCTTAAGTACAATGGCCGACCGCTAAAGATTAATTAATTACACGATTAAGGGTGGTTGGAGGAATGAAGCATGCACTTCTTGTTCATCCTGCAGACTAAAAGTTTATGGCCAGCTCAAAAGTTGAAATGCAGATTTGTGCAAACACCTATTCCTGATTGATCCTCTTCAATGAACAAAGGAGGTTTTGCATTTTCAATGTGTGTTGTGGCAGGTTACATCAACACTCTGCTAATGAGAGCATACCCGAATGCATTCATTTTGGCCACTGTATTTGTTCTTGCTGGCATAGTTGACTCAATTTACAAGATATACTGCCTCTTTTTACAATGCTGCAGTCTTCTGAAGTGAGTAGTCTTAAAAGAAAATCAAAAGTTTTTTTTTTTTATAACCGTCTATATTCTCAAGGGCTGGTAGACCTGTTTTGTTGCCTCAACTCAAAGTATTTCTCACCCACAGCCTTTACAGGTTAACTTATTAGTTAAATATCTGCTGCTATGGCTACCTAACCAATTTCCCTTCCTTAGGTTTGTTGTGGATATCTGGACTTGTTGGGATGGATCACAAGGAGGACCCAGACATCAGAGAATCTTTTGCCAACATCAAGAAGGCCCCTCGAAGCAAATTCCCTCACAGATACTCCAAGGTATTTCCAGTTTTAATTTACTATGAAGCAAACCTGTGGCTGCTTTGCACACAGGCAACACCTGTTGTGAGGCAACTTTTCTGACGAAGGTGACATGAGTTCACTTTCAACCCCTTTTTTTTTTTTTGTTAACATTTTCAGCACTAAAAATATTAACTGTCTGCTTTTAACAGGAAGAACTTCTGGACATTAAGGAACTACCACACTCTAGACAGAGGCCATCTTGTTTACTTGACAAATATGACAGGTGTGTAGCATTGAATATTGTGCTAGAGTTGACTAGAAACATATAAAAAAAACTTTTTTTCTTTTTAATGGTAAATGCATTGTGTTTTTTTTTTTTTTTTTTTTTTTTTTTTTCAGCGATGGCGTTTGGGACCCTGAAAAATGGCATGCGTCTCTATACCCAAATTCTGGACGCAGCTCTCCTGTTGACTCTTCAAGAAAAGACATTGATGCCGAAAGAACTTCTCTGAAACGTCGGATAGCAGGTAAAGTATTAGGCACTGTTTTGGGTTTCTTCTGATGAACTTGAACAATCTATCCCTTCCCCCATGCCAAGGTGCTAGGTGTCATCCTTGACTCGGACCTCGCCTTTCTGCCTCACATCCAATCACTATCCAAATCCTGCCGTCTTCACCTTCGTAACATCTTCAAAATACACCTCTTCCTCGCCAATAAAACCACAAAGATACTCATCCACTTGTTTTGACTACTGCAACTCAATGGCCTACCTGTACACGGGCTATCCCTCCTTCAGTTCATCATGAATGCTGCTGCTAGACTCATTCACCTAACCAACCACTCAGTGTCTGCAACCCCCCTCTGTCAATCCCTACACTGGTTTCCCAAAGGATAAAATTCAAAATATTAAGCACATACAAAGCCATCCACAACTCTGCTCCTGGCTACATTTCATCTCAAAGTATCACCCTAGCCGTCCCCTCTGATCTTCCAAAGACCTCCTACTCTCTAGCTCCCTCGTCAACTCCTCCCATTCTCGGCTCCAGGACTTCTCGAGTCTCTCCCATCCTCTGGAAGTCTTTACCCCAACCTGTCCTCTATCTCCTACTCTGACTGCCTTTTAGGTGATCCCTAAAGACTCATCTCTTCAGGGAAGCCTATCCTGCCTCAACCTAACCACTGAACCATCACTTTCTCAAACAATTCATCTCCACACAGCTACCACCTCTTGCATCACTTGCCCCTCCCTTTTGAGATTGTAAGCTCTCACGGGACAGGCCCTCACCATCTTGTCTTGAATTGTATTGTAGTTGTAATATCTTATATTCTAAAGCACTGCGTAAACTGCTGGCTATATAAATCCTGTTTAGTAATGGCTACAGCAACGATTTGTGTACTTCTTGCAGACCCAAGGGAACGAGTGAAGGAAGATGACCTTGATGTGGTTCTCAGTCCACAACGGAGGAGCTTTGGGGGTGGTTGTCACGTTACTGCTGCAGTTGGTTCACGCCGATCTGGAAGTCCACTTGATAACAAGGAAAATGAGAGCTTGCGACTTATTGGTGGGCGAAGAATTGGAAGTGGCCGCATCATAGGAGCTAGAGGCTTTGAACGTGATCTACGAGAACCTCGTGAGACAAGAGAAAAGGAGTACAAAGATAAGCGTTTCCGGGTAAGGCCACTTGATTTGGGGTTACTTTAGGTTAAAGGGCCAGTAAAAACTTTCCAGTTATCGGTGGGTGTCTGGGCTGAATTACCCACTGCCCATTGAATTTTTGTATCGGTGACCCCAGCAGAAAAAACATTTTGGCCAGCTTTGGATTTACCACTCCTTTTGCATTCTTGGTAGATCATATAAACAATGTACAGGTAGTGCGGGGCCACTGTGTAAATGCATGAAGACTGTGTACTTGGATTCAAATATCTGAACAGCAGGATAAAGGAAATCCTTAACTCTTTTAGCATATGGCAAAAACTGAAGTTTCAATTATATTTGAACTAACCCTTTAAAGCAAACCTGCGGAGAAATAAAAAAATGTAATCTCGCTCTAAATTAACCAGTTGACATCCGCGGTGTTAAACCTCCTTCCCATCCAGGCCATTTTTCAGTATTCAGCGCTGCGGTACTTTAACTGACATTTATTCCGTCATGCAGCGCTGTACTGAAATTAATTTTATATTTTTTTTTACAAAACTTTTTATATTTTTTACTAGGAGCTTTGTGGGTTTGAACAAACCCTTTAAAATAGAAAGATTGAGGCCAAAGGGTCATCAATCTTTTTCTGCAGTCTCTCTTTTTTGTTTCAAAATATTTATTGAGTTTCAATAGTAAAAACAAAGGAAAGCAGTCTCTCTTTTTTTAAATGAACAGGAAGCCTTTATACAGAGTGTTCCTGTTCATTTATAACATGTGGATATAGTATGTTTACTATAACCACAACTATGAATGACAGAAGGTGATGTAGATCACTCCCATTCATATTTGAGGATAAAGTAACCATACTTTGTCAATTATTTACAAACACTCAGTGATCACTGATTGCTGAGTGTTTGTACCTGCTCTCCTTCCTGACATGCTGTCACAGAAGGCGGTGCGGGAGGAGAGCTCAGCCTTCTATGACGGCTGTCTCCGCCCACTCCACTCTCCCTATCTGTGACAGGAGGCTGAGCGGTGTGGGGAGGAGAGACGCCTGCTGCTCACAGCGCTCGGCCACATGCGACAGTTTCTCTTTCCTGCTGGGACACATAGCAGTGGCCAGGGAGGGGAGAGAATGGATGCACTGCTATTTCGGCTAGAAAATGGCACTTTCAGCATTTTGCCAAAAGTGCATTTTTTGGCCGATATGTTTCGGCGGTCCTCTGTAGAATGTGTGTTGTTTTTTTTTTTTTTTTTTTTTTTTTAAAAATTTGGGTATGG